AGTGGACATAGATGGGACCTATAGTCCACCAACTACTGGTGGAATGTTGGGTTCGCGCCTGCCAACGTGGAAGTTTCCGGGTTTTCTTTACGTTAAACACCTAAATAGGGCTCTGTTTCCCATAAAAGACCTCCGGGAGGCACCGCATGACAGATCGCCCATGTGCCATAAACGAATAAACCAAACTGAATCTAATAGGGACAAGATTCCCGTAGAAAGTCCACCCTTTGCAAGATCGCCCATGCGTTGGCATATGCCATCAATCCAAATGGGGCCCAAAATTGTCTTTTATGGTTATCGGAGGTTCGACTGTACTAAGATCAGGCTTAAAGGCCTGATGAAAGAATCTTTAAGCCCGATCTTAATATAGGCGACCATCACCTCTAAACGGCGGCCATTTTTAATGTTCCTGTCAGTTAAGAGGTTCGTGTTTGTAAGCTTTGTTACTATTTATAAATCTTTAAGCTTGATACCACTATTTGTAAATTATTAATCCTGATACGGAGTGAAACCTCTTTATAACGAATCTCGTATTAGGATAATGAACATTTACCAACCTCTATAATAACTCACGGCAAAATTTTTTTAGTTTAACGTTCCTTTTCTTTCAGTCCCGCATTAATAGAATTCCTGCAATTTTCACTTCGCTATAACAATTTCGTTACAACTTTCCCCTCTTCTACGCTATTGTCTCCCAACTGGTAGACAACACTACCCAAGGGAGAGGGAGGGACGAGCTCGGAAGTAAGTGACGAGTTGCAGGTGTACTAACCTCAACAAGAGCCACAAGTTTTCATGGACACAGGTGTAAGGACGGCCTTTTATACCTCTTAATTTTGTTATTTACCTTATTCTTCACTTAGACGCGAAGGTAAGATGGCACGGGGGGAGGAGAAGTTCCTTCTGGTCACTCCTCTTCGGTATAAGAGACCAAGGCTTGTGTCTTCATTCATACACTATTACTACACTATAAGTCTGTGAATCTTTAGTCTGGTGCCATTATAAAACCATAGAAATTCCTGACACTCAATGCTCAACACACCCCAATTACATAACTATATTTTAATTAATTATTAATTTAGGAACCCCCAAAATTTCTCTAACATATCACAACTTTAACGAATTTATTCTTGTGTATAATAATAATAATAAGATTTACTTCTCGTAAAGTCGAATCGATAATCATTATTCACACACCTGCATCATCGAATATAAATTTCCAAGTATTCTTATATATATATATATAGACTTATAATTTCATAACAATAAATCAGTTTTTCGGTATATAAAAATTAGATATCGAGAATGGAGGCGGTTGAACGTGATGAATATTTAATGCCCTATACCTGAAGGTATGGAAAGTATTTTAGCTTATTCGTTAATCCGTTCAAAAAGAGTTAAATCTAATGTGATGCAGCGACTTGCGATCCAGTATGGCACGCTGGTGTCTGCCTGGGGCTACGTGCCACAGATAATGATCTGCCAGTCGGTCACGCACCTTGCACGTGACACGAGGGAGGGAAAGAAGCACACACAGAGTGAGCAAAGAGAGAGAGAGAGAGAGAGAGAGGAGGAGAAGGAGAGAGAGAGTAAGAGAGGGGGAGGAAGGAAGGAAGGAAGAAAGAAAAAAAAAAGCAAAGAAAAGTCTCTAGGCCCCAGGGGTCGACGTTGGAATTTATTGGAGTGACGGGAGAGAACGAGACGAAAGCGAGGTCGATTTAATAGCTCCGCCATTTTGTTTCCTATGCTTATACGTTTCTTAGCTGTTTGCTATCTGTTTTGGTGTAGGTGTAGCCAGTTTGGGGTGAACATAAATGATGTTTTATTTCTGATGGAACATGAAGCGAAGTGATAATTTTTTTTCTTGACCTCACGATTTATAGAATGTTGTTTTAGCTGGTCACATAACTACGATTACGATCGTATATTTTTGTTGGAAGGAAGAATATGAGGGAGGGGGGCGGATAAAACCATTCTAAAATCCTAAATATAATCTATTCCTTACTTACGGAAAGATGCTTAAGATTTAGTCTCTTCCAACTTCACTTTAGTGGAATTTATCACCAGTTTAAATATATTTTAACTTAATGATTATTTAAGTTTATATAAAGTAGTAAAAGAAATTTATATCTTTAACCCCGTTTCACGACAATAACTTTTTCCCGTAGAACGGTTCAAAGAGATTTATAGCAATTCCAAAATTCCATGTCAAAGATCGTTTCACGGCAAAGATAACTTTGTAGAAAGCAAACAGACAGATAAAAAAAAAAAGAAAAATAAAAGAAAGGAAACATGAGAGATCGATTATACTTTCTTGTTAGAATCGAAATTCTGGAAACGGATAGGAAACGAAGAAACATTCATTCAGTTCCTAGCCAAACTGTCCTGTACTCTGACCCGTCCGTTCATTTCTCTTGACTCTAACCAACGTCATCAGCAATGCCAGGCGCCAAAGAACGGATACAGAATTGATTGGTTTCCTGGACGTTCACGTCATGGCAACGGACATCCACTTGTGGCACAGCCGGCTCGGCCGCTATTGATTTTCATTAGACCTAATGCATCGGAAACATCTCGTCCGATCTTCCCCCCTCCCAAGGCCGTTGTTGTAATGGCCAACTGGCTGGGGAGCTTCTTGATTAGATTCTTGGCGTTCGTCGGATGTTGTAGCAACAAGATCACCATCTTCTGATGATCTTTAACTGAGAATCCATTGAAAAACAGTAAAAGCAACAGATCCTATGTATCTTTTCGACATGAACTTAATCTCTTCCTGTCGATTCCTATCTTTAAATGATGGATATTATTGTTTATTATTGGGTCTCCCATTATTTTAAGATGATCTTTACAAAGTTTAATCGCTTTTTAACGCCTATAATTTATGCTAATAAGTAAAATAAACACAACTTCATCTCTTCCTGTCGATTCTTAAGTTCTATTGCTAAGGATCTATTGCTTTTACTCGTTAACATGAATTATATAAGCACCAAAAGTCGATTAAAATGTAGAAAATTTAAGGACAGACCCAATAATAAACAAAAATGATCATCTTTAAAAATAAATTCCCTGCCATTCCTATGTTTAAAGGATAAAAATTGAGTCTGAACTTCTTAAAAATCCCACATTTTAAAATAATTTCCACAGTTTAATTGACTTTTTGCGCTTATAATTTATACTAATAAGTAAAAAAAAAATCAAATATAAAATGATATAATTTACTAATTAAAGGATTAATTTAATTAACAATTTGATTTCTTTTAAAATTAACTTTTTAAAGCCTTTTTTTTTCTATTATTTTAAAAATTACAGTAAAACCTGTGTAAACCGGAATCTTTTCAGGGTTGGGACCAAATAGTCCTGTTGGTCTCCCCTGTAATTTGATCTGTTTATAAATACTGTATACTCAATGTACACTATAAAAATTACAGTAAAACCTGTACAAAACGGCACCTGAATAAAACAGACCTGCATAAACGGTAAAAATTCTTCGGAACGGAACGATTTTCTTACGTTAAAATAAACCTGTTCAAAACGGAAACCTGCCAAACCGGAGAAAATATTCGGTACCGTGCAATTCCGGTTTATACAGGTTTTACTATATATATATATGATAAAATACAATTTGTAATCTAATTTTACAATTCTACAGGGTATAATTTCGAATTTTATGGGTAAATTTGTACAGGAGTTTGAGAGGAGTGATGATGGTTATGTAAATACATTAAAACCTGTGTAAACCGGAATCGAATATATTTTCTGTTTGACAGGTTATCATTTGAACAGGCTTTCTTTTAACGTAAGAAAATCGCTCCGTTTAGGCAAGTTTCCGTCTTATTCAAGTTCCGCTTTAGGCAGGTTTTACTGTAATTGAGTCTAACAAGATATTGTATACAAAGCGTAACAGTTTATACGTAAAGCAAATAACCGGAAGGGAAAATTGTGCTTGTGTTCAAGATCCGAACCCACGTCATTTAGTAACTTGAATGAAGTTAAGTACACATGTACGGTTGTACGCTTACCGTTTGAGTTACAGAGTCACCTTATTTTTTTTTCTCTTTGAAGAAATCGTTAACGTTATCGTGGGGATAACTAACTACTGTATTCCCATGGTCCCATTAGGTGATTAAAGCATTAGATGATACACGGTTCAATTTCCGGCTTTATCAAAGGCATTTTTCTTTCCTGATTTTTTATTTGTTCTCTTTAGATGTGTGATGTAGACACCAAAATATTTACCCGTACTTTAGCTCCTATTTTTACTTTACCGGTTGTTTTATATAACAGGTGAAAGTATGGCGATGTCAAAAAATCAACCCCCCCAGATTTTTGGACTCAAGAGCCCTTGAGACGTCGAAAAATACAAAAAAAAGTTGGGGGTTTTCTGGATATTTATGTGGGGGGGGGTGNATTAATTTTTACTCTCTACTCTACACTTAAGTTATAATTTTTGACTTTTAATGGTAATTTGATTATAAGTTAATTAAATTTTATTATTCATGCCTTAATGTATGGGTTTTATTTTTTATTTATTTATTTTTAATATGTATTTAATAGATAACAATGGCAACAATATTTTTACTTATTAAAATTAAATGTGGAGAGGTATAATCAATAAATAGTGATGAGTATGATAGATAATGTATATAATTGCTTCAATATATAAAATAAAGCATCAGATATGATAAAAATTAATATTAATTAGAATTTTTATTAATTATAAAATAATCATTTAATGTTCTTTAAAATATGAAAGAATGTAAAACAGCAAGTTTTGTAGTTAATTCATAAAAATAAATATACACTCTGTGTACTATAAGTTTAAGCTATACACTTATAATTCCCTTATAGTTCACTTTCTATATGCTATATACATTATATGTACACACTATATAAAATAAGTGTATAAATTTACATACACCACGCACTTAATGTATAGTATGTAGCCTACTGTTACATATATGTTGGCTAAATAATTTGGGTGTATATTTAACTTTTTTTTAAGCATTTATACATTTTATAAAATATATTTTGTTCAGTTTTATAAAGTTTATAATTAGTAAAATTTCTATTGCAGCCATTAACACCAACAGGACACACCCAACCAATGACTACAACTCAGCAATATCATAGTTATCCTCAGACACCAGGATCACCACCCGCTGCTAATTTTCAAATTACCATGTCTCAATCCCAATCGTTGAGTTTTACTTCACCGTTTGGTTGTAGAACACCATCGTCTAGTGGAATGACGAACCTTCAGACGCCTCAACACTTAGACAACATGACCTATTTGAATCGACCTCCACCCGATTACAAACTTCAACCTTTAGGGGATGTTAACCAACACAATATAACCAATTATGGTAACGTTGGAAGAAATCGAGCTACTGGAAATGGCTCCCAGATACACAGACAAGTGAACAATTACAGAAGATCGGATGGTCAAGTCCTGTCTTCAGATGCGTGCCCATCTGGAGGTTACATCAATAAATCTCTTCAGGAACACGTACAAAGATCGGATAAACTTAACTATACGAATCCATTAACGAAGAATACAAGATCTCCAAATGTTAATATCGGTCCCGATGGTTTGAATATATCTCAACGTAATCCCGGTTCAACTACAGAATGGCGGCCTTCCTTAGTTCATTGTCCACCGAGGATAACGAGCCAATCAGGCCCTCGTGTATCTTATCCTCAATCTTATACCAATGATATGAGAGGGATGTCACCGCCTCAATCTTCAGAAAAAATGCAAAGGTATCCCAGTAATCAGGTGGTCATGCAACAGCAACAACAGTTGGCATTGCAAGGCAATATACCAAACGCGTCGGTTAATATGCAAATGTCGCAATCTATCTCTATGTCGTCAGGTATACAGATACCTAATCAGATATATCCACAAGGATCATCGACACCACACGACGGTTCTCAGATAAATCTCGATTTTTTTGATAATATCGAAAGTAGTGCCACGGACCTGTTGAACTTCGATCCCGTCATGCAAACAAGTGGTGCTTCATCGAATTTCACTCTACTAGACGAAATTGGAATTTTAGGGAAATGAATAGCCTCTAATGCTCTTTTTCTCTCCTCTTTTTTTCCCCCCACAATGATTGATGGGTTTCTAACGTCGTGGGATAAAATGGGCAACAATTTTAACAATTGTGTGCATTACTTTTATCCATTATTCATATCTTGTTAGGCCAGTTGCATAATTAGCTCAACTCTCACCATCATTCCAGTCAATATTTTTGCAGACTTTCCGTGCTGTTTTGCGCTTTCACACCTTTAATAACATTAAAAAGACAATTGTAACTGTAAAATTAAATATTCAAAGTGCAGATTCTGTGCTTTAAAGTATGAAATTCGAAGAGACAATAACCTAGGCACACGCCATTCGCGTGTGTGTTTATCTGTTTTTTCTACATCTTCCGGATAATTCAAGGAAAATTCTTTTTTTTTGTGTTGTGCATATTCAACAGATAAACTACGTATTAAGCATTAAAAACATTATTAAAAGAAAAAAAAAATAGATTAAATTGTTGAAGGTTTCGCCATTGCATTCCATGATTGAATGATCTCCGAAATTCTCACGAACATTCCATTTAAGAAACAATAACTGTCACCCGAGACGAACAATCACTTCTGAAGCAATGTTAATAAAAACAATAACAATCTTTGTATATTTTTAATTGTGAGGAACGTAACAACGAACGAAATTCTCTGTAAATTTTGGCAGAAAAAAGCACTTAAATCTAATTTAACTTCCATTCAACCCATTGATCCATAACGAATTATGGATGAACTTCTGATACAGTGGTACCTCTGAGATCGAATTCATAGACGATGTTCGAGTTCCGAAGCAATTTTTCTCATAAGGAATAATATATAAAGTGAATTAATCCGTTCTCAAAACCCTCACAATAACGAAAATAGATTAAAAACAATGAAAAAAAAATTAAATAATGCAATAAAATGTAGATGAACTGGGCGCGGCTGGAATCCTTCAATACTTATCCCAAACTGGTATCAATGGATTTTCATTGTTTGTAGCCAAAAAATTATGTTTAGTTGCCCAAAATAAAAGTTAACCAATCTGTCATCATGCATATGGTCGAATTCCGAGAAAAGTTCGAGTTCCGAGGTACCACTGTAGTTATTTTTAGATTTATATACATTTTTGGAGATTAATAAGCTATGATAATACTCACAATTTCTTATTTCTGTAATTTTAATTAATTAATTAATTCCAAGAGGATGCAACAATTCTTGCACGTGTCAGCTAAAGACACCAGTACTTAACGAAGCATTTGTTCTTTTAATTGTCAAAACTGTGACCCCTTTCGCAATTATAAATATATAAATAAATATAAATATATAAATAAATGAATNCTCTGATTTATAGTAACATGTGTGTATATATTACCGAAACGTCGGTATATCATTGTGAGGAATTGATGTTCATGTTAAGGAACATATTTTGTTGCATATTGTAAATATGTTACTGTACTTGATAAGTAATTTATATACATCAAAAGGGGATACAGTACAGTCAAACCTCTGAACAACGGACACTTGAGAAACATAAAAAAATGGCCGCTGCTTAGAAGTGGCCGTTGTTGAGAGATGATGGCCTTTAGTGGAGATTCGACTGTATTTATAAGTCACCGCTTATGGAGTCTCTTTTCATATATAGATATATTATAACGTATAAAAGCGAGGATTATAAGAAGAGCTGTCGTAAAGCGGGGTGTGTGTGTATATATATTATACTGTACATTCGCCCCGGTTTACGACAACTCGCTTTATAACCCCGCTTTTACGACTGATATAAATTTTCTGTTATGACACTATAAAATGCCTATTTAAGTGTCATATTTTTAGCTGACTTTCTTTTTATGATTATTTACAGCAACGTAATCTCGATTTACGACGTTGAAGTTACAGAAATAGGTCGCTCGCTTTACGACGAGAAGTTTTAAAAATGGTGGATTTACTGTACTTAAAATAAAATTTACTTTTAAATGCAAGATTTCATGCATTTAAATGCTATATAAAAGAATACATTTTATTAATTAACTTCTTTTATTAGTTATAACGTTAATATATTATAGAATTACAAGGTCTATAACTGCTAAGAGAACTGTAAAAGTTCAGCTTTTATATGCCTTTTTTAATTTATATCTATTATATATACAAGGACTTTCAATCAGCCTATGTATAGAAATGTTATATTATATATATATATTAATATATTTACCATTATTTTGATAAATACCACAACTGCCACAACATTTATTATAACGGCATAATTATAGTCATTTGTACATCTTGCTACAATGAGTGAAAGAATAACGAAGGACACGCAGGATTTTCTTTTATTTTTAAGACTGGATTAACCGGTCTCTAATAATAATAATAGCATCACATGTTGACACCAGAATACTAAAATGGCTTTCCGAATCACACCAGAATTGATCAATGCCTATTTATATCCCAGCAAGTAATTTCGATTGTTTGTCAAAGTCGTCTTTGAAACCAAATATGGACTTTTCTGTAGAAATTTGAATTGAAATTACAATTATTTTCCGTCCTCGAGATGATTTGGGTCCTGCAAATGATTGGCGAATGTTACTTCGATTATAAATGAAGGATTTCGATTGCAGGAAAATTAGAAAAGTATAAATCTAAATTTTTATAGAATTAATTCAAATCCTCTTTCTGTAGGATGAGGATTTACGAGTGGATTTTCAATAAAAGATGAAGGTTTTCGAGTGAATTTTCATAAGATGTGAGGATTCTCAATAAGAGATGAGGATTTTACACTCAATTTTTAATAAAAGACGAGGATTTTCGAATGAAAATTTTTATCCTAAAGCGAGATTATAGAATCAGGACATTGAATTTCTTAAATATTTCATGCTTTTTACAGAGTTTTCTATCGAATACACATTCACACGACTACTGTTTCTTCGCACATGCTCCTGTTTCTTGAACATTATCTCCTTATTCAAACGAAACAAGAAATTATATTTAAATAAAATTAATTGATAAAACGTTAAATATACTTAATTTACGCTTCAAGTAATTTAAATTACGTTGACGTTTTCATCACATGATTTTACACGTCATAGAGATTATTTCGTTACGTTAACCACGTGAAAATATACTAACAATTTTATGACATTTCCCTTTATTATAATCATTAATTAAACTTATATTAATATATTTTTAAAGCATTTTATTAATTCGTAAACTTGGAAAACTTCTTTAATTTCTCTATCTTTATAAAGTTTAATTAATATTTATCTTTATAAATATCAAATTTATATATCAAAATATAAAAATATTGTTAAGAACTGCTTAAATATTTGATTTTTTAAAATACAATGACGACTACCTCTAAACTGTGGCCATTATTCGGAGGTTTGACTGTATTTTATAATGTAAAAAATAGTTATAATTATTTATTTTAATTAAAAAAAAACACGAAAAAAATTAATTGTAATTTTTATACAACATTTTTAACAATTAAACATTTTAAAACACTTTACAAAGGGAGAAAAATTACAATTTTCCTTTATTTTAATTTATTATAAATATGTTCTGGTATAAAAATATGTTTATATAATTAAAATACCAGTTATAATTTATATATTATTGCATTTTTTTAAGCTTAAAAACATATTTTTAACCATTAAAAACATTATACAAAGGCAGAAAAATAACAAATTTTCCTTTATTTTACTTCATTATAAACATATTCTAGTGTAAAAATAATTTAAATAATTTTTTTAATTATTTTATATTATAATATTTTTATTTTCATAATTTTTTAAATAGAAGAAGCAATTATTTTATTTATTATTTAACAAAATAAATAAATAAAAACACAGTTTTCACTATTAAAAAAACACTTCACAAAGAGAGAAAAATTAACAATTTTCCTTTATTTTAAATTTATTACCAGTCGACCCCCCTATAACACTGTTGATAATTCCGTTTTATATGAATTCCATGTTGTACGAGTCACTTAGATTTTACAAATACGTGTGCCGGGCTGTGAACGGTTTACGTATTTGTAAAATCTAAGTGATTCGTACAACATGGAATTCATATAAAACGGAATAATCAACAGTGTTAT